TGGGGGGATAAGTCTGTTGAGTGTACCTGGAAAAGTGTATGGTAGAGTTATAATTGAAAGAATTAAGAGTAAGACGGAGAATAGGATAGCAGATGAACAAGGAGGCTTTAGGAAAGAAATAAGAACATAAGAACATAAGAACGAAGGAACACTGCAGAAGGCCTACTGGCCCATGCGAGGGCAGGTCCAAGTCCCTACCGGCTTAAGCCAATGCACCCAACCTAGTCAGTCAGGTCCAATGACTTAAGGGAGGAAAAAACGGCAACCGACCCTGGTAGGCACAAGCTATCAGGTCTAACTCACCCCCAACCCAATCCACTCATGTATTTATCCAACCTATTTTTAAAGCTACACAACGTTCTTGCCTCTATAACGGTACTTGGGAGTTTTTTCCCAACTCATCCACAACTCTATTACCAAACCAGTACTTTCCTATATCCTTCCTGAATCTGAATTTTTCCAACTTAAAACCATTGCTGCGAGTCCTGTCTAGGCTAGATATTTTCAGCACACTATTTACATCCCCTTTATTTATTCCTGTCTTTCCATTTATACACCTCAATCATATCCCCCCCAATTCTACGTCTTTCTAGAGAGTGCAGATTCAGGGCCCTTATCTATCCTCATAGGGAAGGTTTCTGATACATGGGATCAACTTTGTCATCCTCCTTTGTACATTTTCCAGAGAATTTATATCATTCTTAATAAGGTGACCAAAACTTTGGGAGCATAACCAAATGAGGCCTAACCAAGGATGTTTTAGAGTTGAAGAAACAACCTGAGGACTCCTATTATTTATGCTTCTTGATATGAAGCCAAGGATTCTATTAGCTTTTTTTGCGAACACTTATGCACTGTTGTCTTGGTTTCAGGATTTTGCTAACCAGAACTCCTAAATTATAGGGGGGGGGGGGGGTAGGGGGTGTGTGCACCAGGTGTTTACAGTGAAACATATAAGTGAACAGTATTTAGATAAGGCTAAAGGAGTTCTTTGGGGCATTTATGGATTTGGAAAAGGCGTATGACAGGGTGGATAGGAGGCATGGGGGCAGAGTTGCAAGTGTAATGGTGTAGGAGGTAGGTTACGAAAGCAGTGAAGTTTTTACGAGGATAGTGAGGCTCAAGTTAGAGTATGTAGGAAAGAGGGAAATTTTTTCCCAGTAAAAAGTAGGCCTTAGACAAGGATGTGTGATTTTCACCGTGGTTGTTTAATATATTTATAGATGGGGTTGTTAAGAGAAGTAAATGCGAGGGTCTTGGCAAGGGGCGTGGAGTTAAAGATAAAGAATCACACACAAAGTGGGAATTGTCACAGCTGCTCTTTGCTGATGACACTGTGCTCTTGGGAGATTCTGAAGAGAAGCTGCAGAGATTGGGGGTGAATTTGGTTTAGGGTGTGCAAAAGAAGAAAATTAAAGGTGAATACAGGAAAGAGTAAGGTTATGAGGATAACAAAAAGATTAGGTGATGAAAGATTGAATATCAGATTGGAGGGAGAGAGTAGGGAGGAGGTGAACGTATTCAGATATTTGGGAGTGGACGTGTCAGGGATGGGGTCTAGAAAGATGAGGTGAATCATAAAAATTGATGAGGGAAAAAGAGTGAGTGGTGCCTTTAGGAGTCTGTGGAGACAAAGAACTTTGTCCTTGGAGGCAAAGAGGGGAATGTAGGGAAGTAAAGTTTTACCAACGCTCTTATAGGGTGGGGAAGCGTGGGTGATGAAGGGTTGCAGCGAGGAGAAGGCTGGAGGCAGTGGAGATGTCATGTCTGAGGGCAATGTGTGGTGTGAATATAATGCAGAGAATTCGTAGTTTGGAAGTTAGGAGGAGGTGCGGGATTACCAAAACTGTGTCCAGAGGGCTGAGGAAGGGTGTTTGAGGTGGTTCGGACATGTAGAGAGAATGGAGCGAAACAAATGACTTCAAGAGTGTATCAGTCTGTTTGGAAAAGGAAGGGGGGGTAGGGGTCGGCCTAGGAAGGGTTTGGAGGGAGGGGGTAAAGGGGTTTTGTGTGCAAGGGCTTGGACTTCCAGCAGGTATGTGTGAGCGTGTTTGATAGGAGTGAATGGAGACAAATGGTTTTTAATACTTGACGTGCTGTTGGAGTGTGAGCAAAGTAACATTTATGAAGGGATTCAGGGAAACAGGCAGGCCGGACTTGAGTCCTGGAGATGGGAAATACAGTGCCGCACTCCCGAAGGAGGGGTTGTGAATGTTGCAGTTAAAAAACTGGGAAGACAGTGTTTGGGGTGAATGGGTGGTGAAAGTTTTTCTTTTTCCCGGGCCACCCCTCCTTGGTGGGAATCGGCCAGTGTGATTAAAAAAAAAATATAACTAAATGAAATTCATAATTAACTAACTAATTATATAATGTCGTTGTCGTCTTCTTCATATGCAACTGTTATTATTGATAAAATATTTAAAAATGAAAAAGAATTTAAATTTTAGAAATTTACAAAACATTTTAAAATTGCAAAAATATAATTTGCTTTATATACCACCTACTGAAAAAAATAATGATGATGATGATTTATTAGAAAATGTAAAAATATTAGCTCAAAATATTCCAAAAGGAACACAAGTCTTTCTTATAGTATACATTACAAGTGAAGGGAATAATGAAGAAAAAGGATGCCATTTCAATTGTTGCATGGATAAATATTTAAATAAATAAAAAATTTTCTGAACAATTTGAAAATATTGAAGAATATTTTCAATTTTCAATGATTAATAAAATATATATATATTTAATTATTGATAAGAGACAATATGAATCTTCATTCTTTTACAGTTTTTATTTAAAAGAAAAATCTAATATAATTTATATTAGATTAAATTTAAATTTATTAGAATCAATTAACCAATTTTTGGATACTAATCTATTAATGAATATGCTCAATTTATGATACAATGAATATAATGCACACCGAGAAAGCTGATTATTCCATAAGTGGTGTCAATAATATTATGAATCGACTAAAGATTGAAGACAATACAATGTTCGAAATACAAATTAAACCAAAATTATTTAGATAAAATAGATAAAATCTGGTATTTTTTTTTTTGAAGACAATACAATGTACGATATACAAATTAAATTCCTTCATTTAACCAAAATTATTTAGATTAAATCTTGTCAACATTGTAAACATAGCATAAAATAATAATTGTTTTTTCTGAAGACAATAAAATGTACAAAATACAAATTAAATTCCTTCAGTTAACCAAAATTATTTAAATTAAATTTATATGTAGTCCACACAAATACAAAGTTTAGAGTTGAGTTTTTCCTTATTAATAAATATTTACAGTCTTAATCAAGGGAACTATTTCTTTAACTATTTCATTACATTTGATGTTCTCTAGGATATTGAAACTGTCATCATTCTTCATATTAGTCTTATATTTTAAGATATGCTTAATTTCACGTTGGATAATTTCAGGCACCTTGAGTGGTACTATGCCAAACTTCTGTACCAGCCACCACGTATCAAAACAATGTTGTACTTCGGCATATTGGTTTTAAATGTCTGGGTATATAGCACAACTAGGTGTCCAATTACAAGTCGACTAAAGATATATATAGCGAGTGTGAGATAAACTGAAGCGGAAACTGGGTGGAGTTGTACCACATTCTTTTTTAACAGTGGCTAGTGGTTTTTTATTTTTATCATCAACTTACAGAAATTTATTGAATATTATGTAGTATTGAAGTCAATGATATTATGAGTTAGTTAATTAAAAAAATTAAGGTGCACTCAAATATCAGAATATGTTCGAATGTAGAACTTCTCCCTTAGAAATATTTTTTATTTAAATCTATTTATATTTAAAAGTTTTAAATTTTCTGTAACATTTTCATGAATTTTTGAGTAAAATATTGTTGGTTTTACATTTTCATTATCAAATAAATTATCTAATATTTTACTGGGTTTAATATTAAGATAATAATGTTGACAAACATATTACACATGGAATAATATATGGTAATAAACTAATGTAGCAATGTGGGAGTATATTTAATTTTTTCATCCATTTCATAATATATCATTTAATTCTCCTTTCTCAGCTAAACTATGAAATATTTTCCAATAAAAGGGTCCCCATCCTTTAGGACCATAAATTGAGGAATTGGATATGTATCTGTATTATATATAGTGTAATGAAGTGATCCAGGAAAAGTATTTACTTTTTTAAATTTATTTCTAAATGAGGATGAGCTATTTCATCTGCATCTAGTTTACTAATAAGATCAGCTAGGGTTTCTACTCCATTTATCTTAAAAATTATTTAAATGAAGCTTTTGTAAATATAATTGGCGACTTTCTTAATTTTTCATGTATGTTTCAAGAGCAAAAATTTTGATAGAATTGAGTTTTTTTCATTGTCAATAATATTTTGAATTTCTTTTAAAAATTAGTATGAAATTCAATAGGTGAACATATAGAATATTTTTCTGTTTCATCATCACTAGCAATTAAATGTACAAACTGTTGGTAAAGTATGAAAAAAACTAGATCTAAGTATATCTTTTAGCTTTTTTAAAATTATAATTATATTAACATTTTTATATTTGGGATGCATAATTTTTAAAAAATCATTAATAAAACAGAAAAAAGTATAGAAATTAAATGTAGGTAAGCATAAAAATTGATAAAAAAATTTTGATTATTTTCTTTATTGTAAAAAAGTTTTAAATTAAAAAGGTATTGGCCTTTACCTTTCATTTTTTATTCATTAAAAAAAAATTATCAATATTGGTAAAAGTAACTTAACATTAATTTTTTTTTCATTCTCTTGGTTGGTAATTGTAGTTGATTTTTTCATCTTATGATTTGGGTGTTTCCCATAGAAAAAGAGCACAATGAATTTTATAGTGATGTGTGTAAAAAAAATAATCACCACTATAGTAATATCCCAAATAAATTAAACATAATCCATATAAAAAATCTATTATATCAATTAAAGAAAAGAAATTGCTTATTTTTAATATCAAATACATTAAATGGGATGATCAGGACATGTAAATAGTTTTTCTTTAACCCATTCAGTATTATGTTTAAGTTCTTCTTCAGCTGGAGTAAAATCATTTTCAATTTTAAACATCTGACGAATTTGTTCTGTTGTTTTTCCCTTAATTTCATTAGCAATCATCTTACATGTCACTTGTTCTAAACTTTTAATATCTAAAAAATGAGCAGTATTCACTAAACGAATAAAAATAGTTTTATCTTCAGTTTGTAAAAAAAAATTTTAATCCCAAAAAGAAATATCATTAAGTGAAGTAGCATTGTCATAATCTAAAGGAAGAATAGATGGTGGATTTTCTGTATAATATTTACAGTAGTCTATAACCATTTTCAAAATAGGTGTATTTATATTATCAAATGGAATTACTTCATCATCATTACTAGCTTCAATGCAATTTATCATTTCAGTCAATAAATTACTCATACAGGCAACTTTTGTATCCACAATGAAAATATCACCATCACTACTTTTCAGTTTCAATGTTTCCATTGTTATTTTTGGGTGATGATGATCTTGATGTCTAGCTTCACTCCTTACTCTTTTATATAAATGATTAAAAAAAATTATGATTCAGTATAAAAATTTGTTCGTAAGTAACTTGAATCTATCTGAAAACAAAAAATCTACTCAGTAGAGACTATATATATATATGTCATGCCTAATAAGCAGATGACTTTAATTTTAGAAAGGGCTTTGTAGAAAGAAGTAAGTTAAAATTTGTCATTCCATTAGACTATATATATAAGCAATATAGTTCAATTGACTGACTAATGTAAAAATTTTATATTTAATTCTTTACTAAAGACATATTTATATAAATATTTTTTATATATTTTCAGATAAATTTCTGAATAGAAATGGATTCTATAACAATAGATATGGTAGTTAAAAATACTACTATTACTACTACTACTACTACTACTACTATTATTGAGAGTTTGAATAGAAGATCTAAGAAATTTAATTCATATGGAAGTTTAAGATTTGAAAAAGAACGGTTAGATACATTTATCGAATGGCCAATAGAAGAATGGGTGAAACCAAGTGAATTGGCGCGTGATGGATTTTTTTATTTAAGAACAGATGATAAATGTGTTTGTGTTTTTTGTAAGGGTATTTTAACAAAATGGGAAGAGAATGATATGCCAAGAGGTGAACATAAGCGACATTTTCCTCACTGTCCATTTATAATGAATGAACCTGTAGGAAATGTTTCACTTGAACATGGGGAAATAATCTCAAGAATATCAGAATTAGCCTTATATGATGATAGTAATGATAATAGATTTGTATTTAAATCATTTTTATTGGATGTAATTGATGATTTTCCTAATATTATTCCAAGACATATGCCAGGATCTTATGCAGAATGTATGGGACCCGATGATGATGATGATGATGATGATGATGATGATGATGATATGTTAGGAGGAGGTGAAATGTTAGAATTATTTAAATATACTTTACCCTATCGAAATGACTATCAAAAAGTATAAGGTAGACTTAAATGTTTTAGGGGGGTGGCCTAACAAACTTAAACAAAGAACAGAACAACTAGCTGAAGCAGGATTTTTTTATCGTAATTTAAGTGATCTGTACAATGTTTTTATTGTGGAGGTGGATTACGTAACAGGGAAGCTGAAGATATCCCTTGGAAATGAACATGCAGATGGTATCCTAAATGTAATTTTGTAAAAGTAAATAAAGGAAAAGAGTTTATAAATAGGATTTTAAAAAAGAAAAACCTCCATATATTCACAGTTATCCTACTGTTAATTTTATGTTAAATCTAGACTAACAGAGAATGATTTGAATGCTTAATGAAAATTTGATATTATAAAGTCTGCAATTGCAATGAATTATTCCCCAGACAAAGTAAAAAAAGTGCTTAAAAAAGCTTGTAAAAACTGGATTACCCTTTTTTTAATATTGAAAATTGCATTTCAGAAATTGTTAACTTATCATACATTAAAATTTCCTAACTGTGATGGATCAGTTTTTAAACAAAAAAATTATTAATAATGAATTATTATTATCATCATTAGAAAGAACTGATTATGATATGAATATTTGTTAAAATTTGTATGGATAATTTAATAGAATTGGTTTTTTTTACCATGCTCACACATGGTTGCATGCATGAATTGTTCTAAACAGTTAAAAAATTGTCCAATTTTTTAGAAATGTTTTAAGATTTTCAATAAAACCCAATAAAATCTTAATATTATTTATATTTTTTATTTCCCTTTTCCCTTTAAATTTTTTTTTTTGTGCAGTGGGTTTTATTATTTTTTTAAATAAATTTAATATATATGAATATAAATATCAATTTTTTTCTTTTTATAAATATTATTTTTTTTTTAAAAAGGAAAAA